TCAACACTCAGGGGAAAGCAAAGCCATGATGTGTGAGAGAGAGTTCAAGCCCTGAGATCTCCCTGTTTACACCTTGGAGCTGGTTACACTGCACCAAGCTGGACTCAGTTCCCAGGTATGTGAGCTAACAAGTCCTCCTTCTGTTTGTTAGTTTGAATTTGGCTTCTATCATTCATAACCGAAAATGTTTTGATGAAAACACTTACGTTACCCGAAGTGAAAAAGTTTACCAAATAATTTAAAAAGGTTAAAGGAAAATGTAAAATAAAATTAACTATAATAAAATATGGCTGAATCTGATCTTGAAATGAGCAGGGACTTTTTAAGCATAAAAGTAATAAAATGGGCAATGACAATAAGAATTCACAGGAGAAGAAAATCTAATATTCAATAAACACATAAAAATGCTCAAGCCTGTGAGTAATTAAGGGCATTCAAATCCAAATGAGATAACATTTTGACTAATAAAATCAGTGATATTTTTAAAAATAATACTTAATGCTGGTGAGGATTTTGTGAGATGAACACTCGTAATCTACTAGTGAGAGTGGGAACAATATTTTTTTCAAGAATAATTTGAAAGTATGTATCACCTAATTGTCTTGCTTCTTGGAATCTCTCCTGGGGAAATAATGAGAAATATAGTAAAAATTTATAGATAAGCAAGTCCATGGCAGCTTTACTTTTAATAGTAAAAGCTTAGATTTAATTTAAATATTCCATAATATGGTTATGTTACATTCACATGATTGTAATTTTATTTTTTTTTAAATCTACATGCAGAAGGAAACAGACTAAATATTAACAATGGCTATTTCTAGGCGACTTTTACTTTTTTTTTTTTTTTACAGATTATTAAGTTTTTCAATAACAATATCAGATAAAAACCTAAAAAAGAAAGTGTATGACTTTTGCTAGTTGTGTCCTTATCCAGTAAATCACCTTCAAAGACTCTTGCATCAATTATATTGCGCCTACTTGCAGTATGCTTGAGAAATTAAGAGGTACTTGAAATTGATAGGCAGTTGATTAAAACAGTACTTACTACAGCACAGGGCTGAAAGCGCATTTGTGTGTGAAGGTGAGGGAAGGGGAGCAAAGGGGGATGAGACGATCCAAAGGTTAAGAAACAATTTTTGAGAATTACTTTTGTTCAGCCTGAAAAAACATTTCCATTTAGTTCTTGAACTTAGCATTGTGCCAAAGTCTTGCGACAACGGCCAAACCATTGTACTTACTTATATATTCAAGTCCCATCCAGGCAGTGGGAAATTCCAAAGAAACAGGCGTAATCAGTGGAATGTACTGTAATGCGGGTGTGCTTTTAATGAATGTGCAAAGGTTGTACGGATCAATTGTCCATTTGATTAATTCCTCTGGCAGGAGAGAATTAAAAGGACTTAAGCTACACACCAGCAAGAACTGAATGCTCTTTAAAATGTGATTTTCTGCATTGAGGCCAATTTTTTTTTCTGGGCAAAACATTTCTTGAGATAATAAAAGAAGTCAATGAGAAAATGGAATTTCCCATATAAATATTCAACTACATACTACTTTGTTCAGAAAAGCATCTAATGTGCAAAACAAGGTCAAGGTCTATATAGTATTCACCATTATTTGCAGCAAATCTTCTTTTCAAATTCTTATTTGCATCATTTCATAGAAGAGGTGATAAATTCCTATTTTAGAAATAATTTGTTGTCAAAACTTTACTCTCTCCCTTGATAAGGTGTTCAACATTAGCATACTAGAGACCTCTAAATCCAAAAGAGGTAATTATCTTCTTCAACTCCTGGGTAGGTGTGAAGACCCAGGGAAAAGAAAAGTCTTGTACTTTTATCACTTGGAATGATAATGTGTGATCTGTCAGTGGAAAGGAAGAAAATATTCTGAATGGTAGGGGGAAGCTGAGCATGTATCCAGAGTCTCAGAAATCATTTTTCTGCATTCACTAAGGGGTATTTCTTGAATGCCTGTTATGTCCTAGACACAGTGCTGGGTCCTGCAGGTAGAATAGTGAACAAATCAAAGTGAAGACTACCATGGAGCATGCAGTCCAGAGTGGGAGAGAGATACTCATGAAATCGTTCAACTACATAATGGTTTCATTGTTCTGTTCTGAGTGATATAAATTGCCAAACGATTCGCTCATATACCAAAGTAGGCAGAAAAATTCATTGCAATAGGGAAAACTGTACCATATTTCCTTCCTGTTTTGGGTAGTTGTCTTGCTGAGACTCACTATAAAGAAAAAGACACATGAGAGGGTCCACTCGGAATGAAGTTCGAGGTGGGAAAACTTTAACTCACACTGAATGAGCCCCTCCAACTGATTAAGCCCAAGTAATACCCTTAAGATGCCAAAACCCCCACAGCTGCTACTGCCTTTACTGTCCCAGCCGCGGGGAAATCTGCATCTCCCTCTGAACAGATGTAATCTGCCTTTTTCCTGAGCTGGGGAGGGGGGGAGGGTCAGTCCCCAGTTCAAGCAGAAGACAGAGTAGCTGCTCCTTCTTTGGGAGCCAAGACACAGAATCCTGGGTAGACCCCTCCCCCGAGCAAACCTCCACTTCTTGATTATGTCTGTTCTTATGATCTGGGTCTTCAATATTCAACCACCATTCATTCATTTGACAGATATTAATTCAAAATCCACCAGGCGCTGGTGATATGGCAACAAACAAGACAGGCAAAGGATCACAAACAGGGTACATTCCAAAGGGGAATGCAGACAATAAGCGAGCAAGGAAGATCATTTCAGAATCTGGGAAATGTTAGGGAAAAGATAAACAGAGGGATCCATCAGGGTTATAGCTGTGTGTGTGTGTGTGTGAGGTGGGAGAGGTTGTCTTCAGAACTCAGAGTGGAATGAAAGGATGAGAAGGGGACAAGGGAACAGAGAGCATGGAGAAGGGCATTCCAGGCAAAGAGAACCACATATGCAAAAGGCTGTAAGTTAGAATGCACTTAAAGGGATCAAGGAACAGAAGAGAGGCCAATGTGGCTGGAAGGCAGGGAGTGAGGCATCAGGGTGGCTGGCAGGAATTACTAGGTCCCATGAGGAATTCAGATTTTAGTCTAAGTGCAGTGGGGAGAGACTGGAAATAGTGACATGACCTCTACAGGCTCCCAGAAAAAAAGAGAGATATAAGAGTAAACAAGGAGTGGTTTATGTGGGACTCTGGCTGGAACGTCTTTCCAGACTGGGCAGGAAAATGAATGAAAGAAATGGAAAGCACGGGGGGAGATGAACCATGAGGGCTTACTCTACGGATGATATTGGGATTTTCAACTACTTTGGATTTCCCATGTCCCTATTCATTCCATGAGCATAGCGACTACAATTTAGCTAAGCATTATTTGGAAATATATCTTAGGATTTAACCAAAATACAAGCACTTAAAATAGGCAGAGAGAAAATTAAGCAAAAGGTGGCACAGATTTGTCCATTTTAACCTTCACAACTTATGATAATCTCTTCATTACCTACGAGTCACTTATTTAGGGTGAGCCAGTCATTCAGATATGCAATTCTTTCTAGAGAAGAAGAGATTTAGTGTTCAATGGAATTACAAGGGGAAAGGGCACCAGCTCTGAGCAGAACTTAGAGAAATCTCAGCAGAATTAAAATATCATTTCTCACATGGACCATGCCCTTACTCCCCTGTCTTTTCCCTCCTTTGCCCGTGTTCTGCTGTCAGATAAATCTTCATAAAATACAGTTTTCATCGTTTTACTCTTCTGATGGAAAATTTTCAATAGTTTATCATGACTTACTGAATAAAAAATGAATATACACTTTATACTTTCTAGTCTAACACTTGCCCATCTTCCTAGCCGTAGGACCACTGCCTCCCCTAAAGTCAAGACTCCACTCCCCCTCCTAGGAACATGTCTTGAGTTTGCCCATTCCCACGCCTTTGCAAAAATTCCATTTTTCAGAATGCTTATCAGAAGTTCTTTAACTTTTGGGAAAACTAGACCACTTTAACAATTAATGAATGCTATAGATCCTCTCAATAGAAAAAGTGACATGTGTGCAGATTTCTCTACAATTTCATGGACAGCCATCCTACAATGTGCTGAAATCCTATTGGAATCCTACACTTTCTTTAAGGTCCAGGTCAGATACCATCTTTTCCCTGAAATGTTCCCAGTCTTCTTCTCACCGTGAGGGGGGTGGGGGGGGGACATCTGTGCTCAGAGGGCTTACTGTGAGTCACTTGCTTAGAAATTTGTAGCCTATGGCTGTGGCCCTATTTTATACTATGGCCTTGCACTTTTTGCCCTTATGTTATTTAAATCTTTCATCTACATATGTCTTATTTCCCTTACTAGAATTGGAGTTCAAGGGCAGGAAATGTTTTAGTCATCTTTGTATTCCCAGTGACTAGTTCAGTGTCTGGTATGAATTCATTCATGAGTGAATTAATATGAATGGCAGAAAATATGGCTCCCTAAAAAATCGTAAGCTCCTTAATGGTAGGGGTGATCTTGCTTTTATCTTTGCATTCCCAGAGTGAGAGGTGCTGAATAAAAGCGTCAACTTATCGATAAGAAACAAGTAATTGGGATCATTTTCTGAGCACTTTTTATACACCAAACTTTTTACAACCATTACCGTCTTTTATCCTTACAAAACTCATGTGAAGTGAGTTACTACCTCCATTTCACAGATGAAGAAACCAAGACCTAGGTCAAGTTGCTCATGGTCAAACAGCTGGTATGTGTTACGGCTGGTGTTAGAATCTAGGTGTGTATGACAGCCTAGTAATTCCTTAAAAAGTCACAGCTCATTGACTCGCTCTGGGGTTCATTCTGAGAAGAGCTGTGCCCTACATCCTTTCAGTTTTATTTTACATCTGTTGTGTTAAGTCAGGCCCTCCTCCTGCAGCTGTGGACAAATAGAAAGTGGCAGTGGCCTTGACCCTGGATGGCCATTGGATGGCCTGAGCCTGACAACAGTAGGGTTCTTGTCAGTGGCTGACAGCAGCGCTCACCTGTCAGTCAAAGGTGTGATCACCAGGCGAGGTGTATTTCCCAGGTACTCATAGGAATATAGGAACTGGGCATCACAAATGTTGGCAAAGCAGTGTTTGGCCTCATCATCCCAACGATGCCGCAGCTGTGACAGCCATAGGAAGGCCTGGGCATTGTCTACCTAAAAAAAAGAGAGGCAGAGTAGGTGGGTGAATCACAGTGTTCAACAGGTAGCAGATGGCCCCTTGGCCTCAGGACACACAGGGCTCTAGATAACTTGAATATTGTCCACCAGTCAAGAGCCCAGCTCGCTGAGCCCACCACAGCATGAAAAGCATGGGCTGCCCTGATTACACCGTTTTGCAGGGGATCTTAAAAGTTGGGAGCAGCCACCATGATCTTCCCCCAGCTCTCTGGCCAGTGCAGAGCCTGGGGTCCCCATGTCTTGGTTGTATGTGAACTTCTCCCTAACCTCATTATTTGTGGTGTAGCTGCTCACAAAGAAGGACAATCCTGGATGTTTGGGACCCACCTTCTGAGCAATCATTTTGGCCACCACATCCCGGGCATGCACATCAATGGTGCATATGGTCATGATCTTCTGCCGATCCCCCTTGGAGAGCTGGCCAATCAGCATGGTGATGAGGGTCCTGAGCTGGGCCACTTGCTTCTTGTAATAATCCTTCAGGGCATTCTCATAGCCTTCCTCCAGTCTGGCAAATGCAATGCCCACCTCTGTGGTCCACCAGATCTGAGTGCAGGTCAGGGCCACCTGTGGCGCCAAGAGTCACTTAGTAAAGCCATTACCAAGACTGTTTCCAAAACCAGCCCACTCCTCACACAGCAAGGGCGCAGAACGTAATTGTGCGGGTGACGTAAGCCTCCTCCCTTCCTCTTCTACCAACAACGTAAGTGAGGCATATATGCCTCTGTGTCCTGGGACATGGGAAGTGGTTACAACACAAGAGGGAGAATTACTTTCTGTTCTTGAAAAATGTGTTATTTGGTTAGAAGAAATGTGTTATTTGGTTACTCAGTCAATGTCAGTGACTTTCAGAAATTGCTACACTGATCATTCTGTTTTTACTACACAGGCACAGCAGCTTTGCTGTGCTTGGGAGCATAACAATAAGTCGATTAAGCATCTCCATGACACTCAGCCTTTGATCTGTTCTTCTGGAACATCTTATGGTCTGAGTATTCTAGTTTGGTGAGCTACTGCTGATCATTTGTGGCATATTTTTTCTTGTCCACAATATTTTCACTACATTTTTTACTTCTTAAAACCTACAACCTTGAAAGGCCTAGTCTTGAAGGTCAAGGTGAATTACACCAAAATTCAATATAGTCAACATGATTTGTGTTTTTCAGAGATTCACAATAGATGGAAAAATTGATTCAAATGAACATTTCTTCTGTTTGTTGGGAAACTTAATATGGAAATGCATAATTTTGATCATTCATGGTAGAGAATTTAGATACATTGATCGTCTGTAGTATCATTTAGTTTGGGAGACACTGTTCTAGAAGATATCTGTCACAATAGCAATAGGCAACAAATTTTCTTGCCTCAAAATTCTGATTCAGGTAAACAAGGAATCCTGTTGGCAATTATTCCCTTTGTGAAATAGAGAGTCCTGTTGTAGTAAAAAGTACCATTCCCCTAATTTATCAGTTTTTGCCTTTGGATTTAGACATATTGGGTTTTGTTAAAGAAGTTCCTCCAGGAATGTGATCTTATTGGAATGGTTTGAATGTGATGTGCCAACTGTACTGTTGAAAAAAGAAAAACCTCTTCCCTCCTGCAGTACTGACTTATTTCTCTTCTCACTGTCTGTCTACACTCACTGTCAACATTTTCCCAACTTCGTCTCCCTCTCAACTCCCTGCAATATGGCGTCTTCTCTACCACTCCACTGAAATGGCCTCACCGAGTTCACGGGCATTCCTCAGCCTCTTTATTTTGCTTGATCTCTTAGAAGCGTGTGGCATTTTTGACCTCTAACCTGCTATCAACAGTGTCTTTTTTGGTTTCCATGACTATCACTGTCTGGTTTTCCTTCCATCTAAAAGGTACCTTTTCTCATTCTGCTTTCCCAGCTCCTCCTTGCCCACTCAGCCATCGAACGATGCTCAAGGGTTTGCTCTATACCCTCATCTCAGCCTGGATACTTTCCAAGGGCAATCTTACCTGCTTTATGGCTTCAGTTGCCATCAGATATCTGCTACCCCCAAATACACCAACACTAGTGGGATGCCACTAATAGGGGAAGGGAGGCGTGGTGTATTGCAGCCAGAGGCATTTAAAACATTCTCATTAGTTCTTTCCTCTCTCTTATTTCCCTCCTGAGAATCCTGTAAAGGACTCATATATATTTTAGAATCAAGTCAGACTCCCTGACATGGCCTGTAAGAACTGGCTTCCTTTCCAGAATCCATCTGCTGCATCTTGCTGCCTCCTCCTCCCCTTACTCTTGCTTCAACCACTCAGTTCCTCTCAGTTCTTAGAACACATCGGACTCTTCCGGGCTTCTGAGCTTTTGCCTATACTCTTCTCCATGCTTGTTTGCTCTTTCCCTCCATCTTTGACTTGTTAACTCTTATTTCAAATCTCAGCTTCAACATCATATCCTCAAGGAGGTGATCCCCAGACCCCACTAACTAGCTATATGTTCCCAGAGTACCCTCAGCCTCCTTTGTTATTGCACCAGGTCTCATTTGTAAGTGACTGACTTCCGCACCAGTCTGTAAACTCCAACAGGGCAGGGCTACCTTGTTTTGTTCCCTGCTGGTGTCTCCTGTACTCAGCATAGAGCTTGGCACATACAAAGCTGGCTGGCTCAATGAGTTGAATTGCTTACATTTTCTCCCTACTGTAGCCAATGAGAGTAAAAATAGACCACCTCTGATTCCTCAAGGCAATGGTTGAGTTAGGTCATGGCTGACAATCCCCCTCTTGCTGACCCCTCACAGACCAGCCTCTTCTGATTGTGAGGCACACAGTGAGTTTGACGTTGGGCAGCCCCAGAAGGCTGAAGGAGGTCACTGAGGAAGAGGGCAAGGGGGCCCACAAAGGTCCCAGTTAGGGGAATACCTGAGCTGGATAGTCAAAGAGCCACTGCTCCCTTGGCTTTTCTTCATAGGCAGTGACACCTTCTGTCATCTCATGCCTCACAGTGGCCTTCATGTGAGCAAGCACGCGGTTCAGCCATATTTCTACCTGAAAGAAAAACTCTGCGTTAGACAATGGGTTGCTAAGAAGCTATGATCAGTACTACACATTTTATTCCACTCAGCCTGAAAAAGTGAATAAAATGGAGCCCAGGCATGGTGTACAACTCAAATGGCTTCCAGAAGGCACAGGGAGACATTTCATTTGCATAACCCAAGATGGTGATAAATGAGAACTAGGGTTAATGAACAACAGGATGATATGCCCATTTGGAACATGCAGGATAGAGGAGCAGGTTAAGGGGATGGGGGGCTGCCATTCAGAGTTCATACAAAGAAATCTTAATCTGGGTTGAGCTAGGTGTAAATAAGTCAGTGGATTCTCATGACCTTGTCCGCACTGAATATAGAGATGAAGCCAGGATTATGTTTTCCAACTAAATTCTGGGTCTACAAAAAGAACGTATTCCGAATCAAACCCCAGGGTCCTCTCACAAAACTGAGAACATCTGATTGTTTTCTGGTACTAGAATTCTTTTCCAAGATACGTGTGGATGAAGGTAGAACCCTGTAAGAGATCTTTTCCCCAGGTGTTACTTTGGACTAGATTAGAACACCCAGGGACAATACTTTGTTGGATCATTTAAGATAATGGACAAAGAAGGCCATATACTTTAGTGGTTATGCTAACGGATGAGAAGGAGATTTAAGTAGAGAATCATCCCATGTTTTGTGTTTCTTGAATGGTACACTGGAGATCTGGAGGAAGGAGTACTTGGAGCAGAGTATAGTTGGCTCTCCAAGAGGTAGAGCTGTGGGAAGAAGTGACTTGAGGTGTATTTGTACAGATAAGTGACATCTCAGCAAAGTGGTTGATTTCAAAGGGCATTTTCTCCCAGGGAAGATGTCAGTGTTCCAGATTCCCCTGTGGGGTGCTCCAGGGGTTGTCACGTTAAAGTCTCCTGGTGCTGCTAATCATTTTAGAATCCACTTCTCGTTGACTCAAGAAGTTATTTATGTGCATTTTATTTTTCTCTGCACAGGTCTTTGGTTAAGGAAGAGATAGGAATATTGACACATGTCCTTCCCAGAGAGAGGAAAGCAGGCACTAGGAGCTGTCTCAATGTCAGTTCAAGTCAAGGGAGGCTGGCAGTCCCAGAGCATGGACAGCAGTTCTGGCCCGAGGTCAAAAAGGCCATCTTGAAGGTTGCTGCTGACCATATTTGAATGCAGACACTTGAGAGAAAAAGGTGTAAGGAGGGAAAAATCTTTGATGTTACCTGCCCACTGCAGTCACAGGGCTCACTGAAGGCCACATATTCTTCTTCTTTGCTGTACATGCCAAGACTTATCTTGGTTGGTTTCTCACTGGTGTCTAGCTGGAATTGCATCTTGGCCATATTGTCAAAGAGTTTGGAAAGATGACGTTGAACCTATGGAGGGAAACCATGCAAAGGATTGGATAACATGTCCAGGAAGTTTCTTATTAGTATTGTTTAGAGGTCTAGCATGTGACATCCATTAGGGTGCTGGATAGCAGACATTTAGAAGGAAGCTGGTGGGAGTGACGGTGATATGAGGATGGGAATCAACTGAATCTAATAGAAGACGCCATAGGAACATAAAACTAGTAGGAATCACGCTCTAGCTACAAACCAGTGAAACCACAAACGTTTGATTGATTCCTGCTTGATCTACTAGAGGTGGGAACAGATTAGAGAAAAAAATGACCGATAATTCATACACTTTCTTTCTAAGAAAATATGACTATGCAGCAGGAGATGAGCACAGGATAGTCCGCAGAGGAATGCAGAGGGTCAAGGGCAGTGGTGACAGTGGCCTGTGGAAGAAGTCACTTAGTTGTTGGAACCACTTCTAGAGGGTCCAAAGCAAGGGAAAACATGCTCACACCAAGCAGAAAGCCTGGGTGTGCCAGGGCTTCTCCCTAGCACGGGATCTCACGATACAGGGGCCCTTCAGGGATGCCCTGGGTAGCCGTTCTAGGAGGGATGTCACACAGAGCCACCCGTGGTGCTGAGGTGAAGGAAATGGCAGGCTGAAAAAGGAACAAGAAACAGAAAGCTGTCCTCTGGTAGCATTTTTTGAGATACAATTGGCTTCAGGCTGCTGGTAGCCTGAGTTGCAATCCTAAATTTACAACAACCAGCTCACTAGCTTATGAGATGAAAGGGAAAATTTTGAGTATTTAGGTAAACTGTGAAAGCACTAGAGGAGATCTTACCCACAGTGACTTGGGACAAATATCTTGATGGGATGGACCTTTCTTAATCTAAGAACAAATAGTGGATAAAAGAAAAAACCAAAAACAACAACCAACATGGGACCCATGAAATTATCCTGCAACTTAAAAGAAGGAGAAAACGGGACTCAAGAGACAGAGTAAGAGTGTGTGTGTATATATGTATAAAAAGTTTAATAAAGGAAATGGAAATAATTATGAAAAACATCACCTTGTATTGCTTTCAATTAAATGAAAGAAATATGAAATCTATAAAATATGAGGTGAAAGATGAGTTGGTGGAAGTAGAGAAATAAAGTAAGGAAGCCAACAAATGATACAACAGAGTTTATAACAACATTATCAATAATAAAGGGCTGATTAACACAAGCTAAGTAAATATGGTAGATAAACTTGAGAAACTATTAAAGAACACCAAGGAAGAGGACTAAGAGATAAAAATATGTATGAATATATGAAACTATGTATGAGTATATGAAGGTAATGTGTATAGCACAGAGAGAACAGAATCTCAACTTATGGAAATATGATGAACCTAAAGGAAAAAGTTATCCAGATAAATGGAATAGAAATATTACTTAAAAGCATGCTGAAAGAAAACGTTTTTAAGATAATGAAAGTCCTGGATTTCAGATAGGAAAACACCTCAACATGTGTTGGAAAAATCAACAAAATAAAGCAAGTATCTAAACATATACAAATTTTTTAGATATGAATAGATAGATAGATCCAGATAGAAAGACATTAGGTAAAAAAAAAAAAAAAAAAAAGAAAAAAGGAAAAAAAAGGCAGGCAGACCTCAGAGGATTTCTCTGTAACAGAATCAGCAGAGCTATATCTGTAGGTATACAAGGGGAAATTGCTGTGACCCCTGAATTCCAAACCCGGCCATTCAATCTATCACACATGAAAACTAAAGATAGTCACAAACAAAGAAGGAATTGAGAATTATTCTAACATGCTTCATCTCTGGGGGCAGGGAGTGGGGGAAACTAAAGATTTACTCAAACTGGGGCTGGCCCTGTGGCAGAGTGGTTAAGTTCGTGCACTCCGCTGCAGGCGGCCCAGTGTTTCGTTGGTTCGAATCCTGGGCGCGGACACGGCACTGCTCATCAAACCACGCTGAGGCAGCGTCCCACATGCCACAACTAGAAGGACCCACAACGAAGAATATACAACTATGTACCGGGGGGGCTTTGGGGGTAAAAGGAAAACAATAAAATCTTAAAAAAAAAAAAAAGATTTACTCAAACCAAGTGAGAAATAAGTGAAAATAAATATTTAAGAATAAGTATATTATATATAAAGATAAAAAAAGCTCTGGCAATGATCTTTAACTTCTCCCAGACATAGAATTAATGAACATATAGTCAGAAAACAGAATGCTAATGTGATAGATATTTCAGCTCCACCATGCCTGGGCTATTTTGGAAATATTTCTATCTATAGAAAAAAAAAAAAGAGTATAACTATCAAGATAACCTCTCTTTAGTACTTGCGTTTTACTAACAAACCAAAAACATAATTTTAGTAAGTTAGAAAGTTAATGACAAAGATGGAAAACTTATGCATGGGTGCCATCTTTTGGCTCCGTTGGAGAAGCTCTCCTCCATTGCTGGTGGTGATGCAAAAGGATACAACTCCTAGGGGAGGAAATGAGGCAATATCCAACCAGGCCGCACATCACTCACCCCTTGTCCCAGCAATCTCACTTCTAGGAATTTACCTGGAAGGTAGACCTCCAACAATACAAGTCCAAAGTTATTCAATGCCACATTATTTCTAATTGCAAAATATTATAAACGACCTATGACCAAACTGTGATATATTAGTCCATGGAGCATTTACCAGATGTAAAAAAATGAAGGAATATTTCTTTGCATTGATATGGAACAATTTCCAGGATATATAACTAAGTAAAAAAAAAAAAAAAAAAAGCATGCTAGCTTCTGTGTAAGAAAGAAGGGGAAATAAGGAAATGTACATGTACAAACGTCAGTGTACATCTGCTTATTTTTGCAAAGATAAATACAAGAAAGATAAACCAAAAACTAATGGAACTGGTTACCTCCAAGGGTGGAGGGGAGGTGGGGACAACATGAAAGGACTAGGGAAGGAGGGACACTTCTCACATATCTTTCTGCATAGTTTGACTTTTAGAATTCTGCATGTGCAAACAATCAAATCAACAAGGATGGAGAAAACCCTAAAACTGAGAGCAAAAAGAAATAAATGAGCCCAACTAGACTCTGAATGAATAACAAAATCATACTGAAGGAGGAAAAGAACTCATGCAAGTAACTTCTGAACACAGTGTTTCAACTATATATCTTGAGTCTAAAGGAAAATAAGAGAACTACAAACAAATCTTGAACTCTTAGGGTGAGAAGGGAGGAGAGCTAAAGGAGCATACAGTATCGCGTCATCTCTCCCTCCTATCAGTCATTTTCAGACTCAGACTCTATGGTCTATAGCAGTGGTTCTCAAAGTGTGGTCCCTGGACTGGCAGCATCACTTGGGAAATCCTTAGAAATGCAAATTCTCCAGTCCCACCCATACTTACTGAATCAAAAACTCTGGGAGTGGGGTCTAGGAATCTGCATTTTAACGAGCCTTCCAGGTGATTCTGACACACTCTCAAATTTGAGAAATACTAACTATAAGCTCCAAATATCAATAGTGCTTCAATTAGTTACTTTAATATTAAAACATCTTGTAACACAGTGCGCTTCTTCTATTTTACAGATGAGGAAAGTTTGCTGCAAAGAAGAGATATGCCCAAACTAAGTGGCTAATAAGTGGCTAGAACCAGGGGCTAGAAACCAAACTTTTGGTCTCCTCATATACACTCTTTCCACTAAACTATCCCAACCTCCAGTTAATACAACTTCCATCATATCTCTCTATAGAAATTTTAGCTGTAACTTTTTTTTTTTTTCCTGAGGAAGATTCACCCTGAGCTAACAACTGTGCCAATCTTCCTCTATTTTCTCCGTGGGTCACCACCACTGCATGGCCATGGATGAGTGGTATAGGTCTGTGCCTGGGAACTGAACCTGGGCTGCTGAAGAGGAGCACACCAAACTTAACCACCAGACCAAGGGGCTGCTCCCTTAGCTATAACTTTTGACTGCTATTTATTGGATTTCTCTTCAGAGTCAGATCAAAGGCATTCTCTGTGAAGGCTTAGCCCCTTCCACCTCTGCCATCCTCAAAGCTTCTTCAATTCTAATTTAGGGTGTATTAGCCACTGGTGGGCTGGAGGGCATTCTGAGAAGCAGTAACGGTGGGAATGAAGAAGCTCTGAGGTTAGTGATGATGCTGGTGGCAACATGGGACTCAAATACAAATGCTGCCAGAGAGAGGAGGCATAGTAGGAAACCTGAAACTCTTCTGGTGGGAGCTCCTCAGTCCTTCCAGATGTTTCTACAAGTGCTCCTTCAGCTTACCTGTTGTGGAGCTGTGCCGTTAGAAAGGATGTCTAATAGATCAGAAGAAGAGAGAAAGTAAAACCTAGGGAAGGCAAGCCTTTTGGTATCCAGGTACTCCGCCAAGGCCTTCTCACACAGGTACAACCTGAGGGCACAGACACAGAATTTCCTCATTAAGTTCGCCTAGACTCACAGGTACTTAGACATCACCTAAACGCAAACTTATGCAACAAATGGAATATGTGCAGAAGTCAGTGCACAGAACATTCATGAGTATTTGCAAATATATATACTGATACGTGTCCATCAGAATAAACACCTCTAATAATACCTCATATTACTCAAACCCACAGGCAAATCAAGGCACACACAGACACACATATCGCTCACTCAGGCAGCTAAACAAAGTAAGGATCTCCGAGACAGAGGAGGAAAAGAAAATATGGCCTCCTCCGTTTCAAATGGGGCAGCAAGCAGACCATCACCTGCTCTGAATATCTTCCAGTTTCTCATAAAGACCTGGTTTGTTGGTGGCTTCCACTACATTTGGAGTTTTCTGAGCATTGTAAGTCAGCTCTTTAAAGTCAAGGTCAATGCCTTCAAATCTTTTAGAATCCTGCAAATAAAAATGTAGGAAACAATTAACTATCACTCCCCTCAATTCCAAGCAGCTCCTCTCACATAGCAAGTCAGAAGCAGAAACCTGGTCCTAGGTTGTCTAACACAGAGATTAGTCTCAGAAGGAAATCCCTTTAGTTTGAAATAGTGGTCTCAAACATTTTGGTCTTAAAACCGCTTTATGTTTTTGAAAATGATTGAAGAGTCCAAAGAGCTTCTGTTTATGTAGGTAATATTACACCTATCAACCTGTCCTGTGTTGGATGATAAAGTAGAGGAATTTAAAAAAATATTTACTAATTTATTTAAAAAGTAACAATAATAAGCCCATTATGTTAACATAACATGTTTTTATCTAACCACATTTTCCAAAACAAAATAACTTAGAGAAAAAAGTGGCATTGTTTCCATTTATTTTTTCTAATCTCTTTAATGTCTGACTTAGAAGATGACCAGATTCTCTTCTTGCTTCTGCATCGAATCTGTTGTGATGTCACATGTCATGTGGCCTCTGGAAAACTCCACCGTACCCTCATGGAAGAATGAGAGTAAAAAAGTCAAAAACCATTTCAGTGCTATTATTAAGATAGTTTTGACCTTGAAGATCCCCTTAAACGGTCTTAGGTAACCCCCCACCCCAACACACACACACACCAGGGGTCATCAGACCACACTTGGAGAACTGTTGCATAAAACACGTAATTCCTAGGTCTGGTAGATAGTGGATCCGATGTTTTTTCCAGGTCCCTGCAAAAGCTCATATAACCAGTGTAGGTTTTCCCTCGGCAAAGGGACTACTACAATGTCAAGATTAACTAGATATTATCATTTTCCCAAATACACACCCCCTCACGGTGTTGTTGAAATGATTGAGACAACAATAAAGGCCTTTAGTCCAATACCTGACACCTGGTAAGAGCTTGCGGTATTACTGTACAACAACAATCATAATGGTATGTGCTATGTGTGCTGTTTTAATTAACTCCCTGAAGTAGGTACCAGTGTTAGTCCCAGTTTACATATGAAGAAACCAAGGCACTGAGAGGTTAAGTAACTTGCCCAAGGTCCCACAGCTGCAAGTGGGCGAGTTAGGACTCAAGCTCAGGCCGCGGCCCCAGTTCACTTCAGACTTCTGCAACTCATGCCTCTTTTCCAAGAAGATTTAAAAACAAGAGGGCAGGATAGAGTAAATTAGCATAAATGTTCGAATGAAAGGAGCTAAATAGAAAATTGTAATTGCATGGATAGCAATTATGTAAAAATAAGTATATATGTCAATGAAAGTTGGGAAATATTCATAATGAAGGAAAACAGTGACTAGTTAGGGGGTAAGATTACGACTGATTTTACTATATTTCAGAACTGTCTCTGTCCTCATATTGTTAATGCAAAGACAATAAAGGCGTTCACATTTATACACAACCCTGTGGCACTGTCGGGAAGTTAATGATTCCAGTTCTTTATTATGTTTAACTGAAAGCTCTCAAACGCCTCCTTTAACGTCTCTACCAAAGTTGCCATCTAGGTCCTCGCCCCTCCTCATTAAACCCGCTCTTCTTCAATCACTTGCACTAAAGATCAATAAAATCTGGCTTATTCAATTTGGCTTAATTACAACAGCTATAACAGGATTGTTTTCTGTTATTTTTCATTGCAAATAATCTGCATTATTACATTAAATATGCTTTTATGGGATGAGCTGGAAAACCGTAATGTTTTGATGGAATGCGTTTTAACTTTTAAATAAGGTCTGGACAACATGTGACATTTTGGAATGAAACTGATTTGTAAGCAAGAACTTGCTGCGCTGAAGGAATACAGAAGAAGCCTGCAAAAAAAAAAAATTCTCTTGTAATGAATGAGAGTCCACTGAGAGGGGGGAGAGTTAATGGCACACTAATTAGGACAAATTAGAAGGGGCGATCAACCACAGGAAAGGTAGTAAGGAGAAGAAGGCGTATCTCAGAGAAATTCATTGTTTAGCATTTAGCTGAAGACTGGTATTTAGCATGCTGGCACAGGCCAGAGCTTTACAGAGGGGCTCGCTGCTGAGAAGGCACTGGAGTTTGCCTGGAAACAATGCTCACTTCTGATCGATACCTGCATTGTAATTATCTGCGGAGCAACCCACAAGCAGCTCAGCTCAAACTGCAGTAGCTAATATTTTTGATCTCCTTTCTTGTGTATATATTTTTTCTAAATCAGGTTCTCCTTTCTTTTTCCTACGCATGCAGGGACAAACTAATTGGTGTGCATTTCACTCGCTCTCTTTTCCTCTGCCTGACTTTTGGTGGCTTGTAAGGTCAACGTTTGTTGGAGGTGCCCTTGAGTGAAGCCAAGGCAGGCAAGCAGCGGAGGGAAAGTTCTAGAGGATGCAGGGACTGGGTGCTCTTCCTTTGACTCGGATAAGGAAACAGAGAGAGAGCAGGATTTCCTCAGCAGGTACCTGGGGCAGCTGAGCCCGGATATCTTCAGATCCAATGAATATACTTTCCAGATGAGACCATGTGCGCTGCACGTCAAACCAGATAGAGATGACGGCGTCAGCTGTGGACAGTTTCTTCTGCCAGCCCGACACTTCCTCTAGGAAGAAAGCGATGTACTTGGACATCATGAGGTTCTGAAGCTGGACTTGGTTATCCTCCAGAACCTCAATGAGGTCCTCGTCTGACCGCAGCAGGGGGACATTGGTCCGCTGGTGGGGCTCATACTGGAATTCCATGCTGGCCCAGGTGGTCTGCAGCTCCTTTAAGACCTTCTCCATACCCATCTCTTTCACAGCTTTGTCCACAATACCCCGGACCTCATCCTCAAAGTGGTGCAGCTGGAGCTGCAGGAGCTGTGCCAGGGTGGTGCCCTCATCCATAGTGAAGCTCACGCCTGTGGCCTGCATCAGCTGCCTCCAGTGCCGCTCTCGGATGGCCGGATTCTGCAGCTCAGACACTGCCCTCAGGGAGGTCAGAGTGTTCAACACAGTGCTTTCCAGGCCTGTGAACGCATCCCAGGCCCTGACCTCCTTGTCGAGGTTCCGGATGTGCCTGGCAAACCGTTTGCATTCCAAGTCCATGGCCTCCACATTGATATCTCTCCACACAGTGGCCTCCCAGGCATGGATACTGGAGGTCACCATCCCAATTGTGTCCCAGAGCTCCTTCAGTTGGCACACCTCCTTCCTGCACTGCCTCAGCTGCTTGTAGTCTGGAACGTTGACCTCAAACAAACCAGCGGACTCAGAAATGGAGGCCATGGTAGATTCCATCTGCTGGATCTCAATGTGCCTGGCATCCAGCATTTGATGAGGGTTCGTGCTATCAAACCTGCAAAACACAATGAGTTCCCTTGTGAGTATAGCACACAGGGGCCCATTGCCTAGAATCACCAAAGTAACACCAGTTCACATCTTTAAATGCTTCATAATTTAGCAAAGAGCAGTGACTCTCACCAAAGCCTGGAAAGAAAAGACTCTCAGGGTAGAGTGGAGTGGGGTGAGCATAAGAGTTTAGACTCTGCTTTCACTTGTTGGCTTCCAAACCACTTGACACAAAAGGGTCTTGTCATGTTACTATGGATGCTGTACAGCTAAAGCTCCTGCCAGGAGCTACTAGCAGTAGGTGGTCTTCAAGTGAGAGAGCCAGCACTTACAAGTCCAACCCTGACCCAATCTTCCATTGCTTCCTCTAGGGCAATGCTTCTCAATCTTGGCTGCATATTACAATCTCTTGGAAGTTTTAAAAGATCTCCATGTCCAGGATGCTCCCCAGTCCAATTAAATCAGAATTTTGGGGGGTGGGACCCAGGCAATAGCATTTTCCAATTCCCCGCGTGGTTCCAACGTGACAGGTTTGTGTCCTTGTCTGTGGTGAGGCTCACACTGATGGCCCACATCACCTGCAAGCAACAGCACCTCCAAGTTTGAGATCCACTAATAGTGGCCTTGGAGACTGAGCACAAAGCTCTCAACAAGGTCCTACACTGTTGCTGTGGCTTTCCTTCACTATGTACCCCAATCCAGGCTTCCCATCCTCTGAAGTCCCTCCTCCAAGCTATCTGTGATGTCCTCCTGCATCCTGGGACGACCTCTCTTTCTGCACTTGACTTCTACAGGTACTGTATCTAGCTTTACGTCCTCACCCTCTTCTCATCGATGCTTATGGCATGCAACCACTGCTCCTGATCCTTACCAGTGTTAACCTACTTTACAGTGCCACCCCTCCAGACTTGCATTCCTGGCAGAGCTCCTCCTCCAACATAAGAACTCTACACCAAAAGGAACCCACATGGGCAGATAACTTTTCTTTGGTCAGGAGCTCTCAGAACCCACATGTTTAAGGAGGCTCTCATTTTCCTCCCTTAACGTCCCTTTATCCTTTCTCCCCATCATCAATCTCAGGTTTTCTTGTTTCTGTGTGCTTGGAGGGCTAGATAGTGGGGAGACCATGACTGAAGGGTGAGTACTATGTTCCTCTACAATCAGAATAGGGCATCACAGGGTTCACATAAAGCAGAAAGTTGAGAGGAAATGAGTGACTAGAGAATTGGTCATTTCCTTCGACCTAGTGTGTATGTGTGCATGTGTGTGTGCTGGTTGGTTGGTTGGTTGGTTGGTGCGTGGGGTATGGAGAGGAAGGAAAAAGGAAGAGGATGACATACAAGCCCCTTTTCTTGAACTGCCTCTTCTCTCAGTTGTCTTTGGAAATATTTGACTTGGCGGATGGAAAGAAATCCTAATTAAAGTCATTTACCTGAACTGCTCACCACTTAAGCCTAATTGCCATGCAACACAATAACAGTTATGCATACCATTAAATTAGTGTCAGATTAACTTTGATGCTTGCTATGTTTGATTCCTGCTTGTTCCATCTAAATAGCTTTTGGCTCATGTGCTCTGGTTGTGCATTTACGTCTTAAGAGAATGAGGCTGAACCTCATTGTACATCTTCTCTGTTCTACAGCTCCCAAGTGTTTCTGAACAGAAGATGAGGTTGGAGTTCTCAGAGTTGAAGAAGGCCCTTTGTCTATATAGGCAAGAACCTTTCTCGTCTATGAGAGCAATGAGAAAAGAACTAGAAGGAAAGAAATATAACACCCTCATGGCAAGTGGTCCAGCAGGAAAGACTGCCAGGCATGAATGGCCCTGCTTATTCTTCATTTCCAAAGACTAACTGTTGGAGTGTGTAAATTCTACTTTTCTCTTAACTAGAGTGAACCTGGAAAGTGAACTTAGCCTTTTGGTGTTAGTACAAGGTCTATCAGACAAATTCTAAAAGCCTACATTCTGTTTAATTTATTAACGGAATATAATTCAGGAATGACTTCTTAGGTAAGATATGAGCTATTAGAGTGTTTGGGGGGTTACATAGAAGATAATAAATGATCTTTCTAATCGCTCTTTCCTCAGCACATATGAATATCCTTAAATCAATATTGCTTCCTCCAATATTTGTTAGAGGTAATCATTTGTCAAATCTATTCCAAACTTCATCTACCCTGTGGCATAATTTTTGTTTATAGTTTAAATTTGTGGACAGTCATTTCCTGTAGCTGAGCACACATAAAAGTTAATTTGGCCTAAGGAGTGAAAGGAACCTTTAGACATGAGGGTGAGTAACCCTCTTTCCATTTAAAAACTCCAGTGTAAATTGTCAGGATATTCATAGACCTGATTAATGTGCCTAATAAACTCGAAGCAGTTCTCCAAAACCCGCAGGAACAATATAGCATAAGAACAAGGAAGTAATAGGAGGGAAAAGCATGTAGTAAGTCTCTGAAATTGAAATAATAATGCAAAAGTATTTTAATCTAAAGGAGAAATGCCTGGAAAGTCTGGATGAATAAAACTATAATTAAGAGAAATGAAGATATGCTGCTCATGCATGTGATCTCGGACAAATGATTGATTCAGGCCTGACTCAGACATGAGCGGAGAAAGAGAGAGAGGAATAAGTGACTCAAATTGATTTTTGGGAAGCTAGTCATTGGTAAACGTTAACCTCAGTGGCATAGTTGTATATACAATGAGTGATGACACACCTGCACTTGAACATGTCCAACTTGACCTTGTGATCTTTCAGTTCTTCCCATTCGGTGGCCTCCATCTCAGTGAACAGCGAATAGTACCACCTTCCATCTCTTTGTCCAAAATGCAAGATGGAGAATTATACTAGACTCTCCTCTTTCCTCATCTCCCATATTCAGTCAATCCTGCTGATTCTCCCTCCCAAATCTCTCTCAAATCCATTCTCCTCTCTCCATTCTCACCACCACTGCTTCACTTCAGGCCTATTGCTTCTCACCTGGGCTGTTGTAATCACTCTCGGGAGCATGGAGCACCTGGCCTTGAGTCTGTCTCACTGCATTCTGTTCTCCACAGCCACAAAAGAGTCATATTGATATTATGTTGTTCTCTTGCTTAGACCCTGCAGTGGTTGATCACAGTCAAAACTCGTTCACATGGACCTCTCTATTCTCATCTTCCACTTCCTGCACCCAGCCATACACACATGCAGTCTACAGCTGTTTCTCACAGTTCCATCCTTCTGTGCCTTTGTATGGTCTGCGTCCTTTGCCCAGAAGATCCTCACTTCCCATTCCTCTTTTTTCCAAGTAACTAATTCTCATTTGCCCTTGGCTCAAGCACCACCTTCTACAGGGGGTGTGTGAATTGCTTCCCAAGTAGGGGTTAAAGTTGGCACCCAATGCATATGTCTTATTACTCATTTTTGAAATTGTCCTGAGGCTGTAGGTCTTTGAGGTCAAGGTGCATGTATTATCTTAAAATCCTAGCTTTTACATCACTTTTTGCTGACTCCATGACCTTTTCTGCTCTATGAAAGCCTGAATCACGTGAACGAGTCAGATTAACTAGAACAGGGTCAAGCTGAACTAATTACACGTCTTAGGACATCTACATGCCCCTGGGAGATTTAATGACTGACATCGCTCTTCTCTCCAGCTATTGAAGAGAAAACAGACACGGTGCAAGCAAGACAGAGGCCCTTCTTTCCTCATTTCTGCTGTATTTTTGGGCTATTTGGAAAGCCTTGCCTTTTCTAGTTGTCATGCAGGACAGCACGCAGTGGGAGGGTGTCTTCAAGAAGCCTCTCCCAACTGTTCACAGAATCTGGTTGCCAGCCAGCTAAAAACCCTAATGGTCTCCATCGAGCTGGAGCTCATAGGGATCAATTGTTTTGACTCAGAAACCCCTGAATTACCTTGGCCTTGATGTGGCTAAGAAGACTGTATGTCATGGCATCATTCCTTAAGGTCAGGAAGACTGAACAAGAGAATTCTGCTACAAGCATGGAGCCTTCCTTTCATTCAAGGGAGAAAATTAGTCTCCAATTTTAAGAGTTGTAAAAAACCCTTGAATCTGAGTATGATGATTTAGCCAATTACTGTGAAGTGTGAGAGCTCAGCTAGGAATATGCTGATACAGCTTAGAGTTAAGAACTAAAGGAAGAAGTAAAACTTGACTTGAACATGAAGAAAGAATCTCAACCCAAGCAGCCTGACTTCACCCAGCATCTGTCAGACGCAAGGGCTTAATGAGACAGTCACTTTCTTTTTCCTCCTCAAAGACAAGATCAGTGTGAGCTTAACCTGCAATCTAATCAGGACAGAAACTTGCATTCACAGAGGAATGTAGCAGGGTCTGCATTTTAGAAATTCATATAGGATCTAAAAGTGAAGCAACCAGAATTAAATTCATTTACCACACAGGGTACCTAAAATTTTTAAACACAGACATTGACACACACCAAACTAAGAAACAAAACACATGAATTGATGCCCAGTAAGAGTCCCTTCAGCAATAAATCCGTGATTCTGCTTTAGTCCTGATGGGTTTCTTGACAAGAAGAGAAATACATCAAAATTGCAATAACGTTTGGTTTTCCATACTGCTGTGAGCAGTTCCTTTCAAAGTAGTCTCTCGCAAAGATTCATCTGCATGTCAAATTAACAGATGTGAATTTGGAAAACCCAGCTAAGGGTAGCAATATTCCCACAGCCAGCAGATACAAGTGCTAAGAAAGAAAAATGCAGCTATAAATTTAAAAACAACAACAGCTGATCAATGCACACGCACCCTGTCACTCTGAGGGATGGATACCAGATCTCCAACAGACACATGAAAACACACCAGCAAATGAATGTTCTTTCCTTTCAAGCAGCCTCGGAAGTCTGTTTGGGAAGATATTTTGCAAAACATCTTTGGAAGTCCTTCTCAGAAGTTTTTTAAAGAGACAGCTGATGTAGAGGTATTAGTGTCGTTATTTTTACGGCCATTGCCATTGGTGTGGTGGTTGTTAACACTAAGCGGTATTACCCATCTCCATTGATCAGTCATCTCCCTCACCAGCTTTGGCTCTGTGTGATCAGTGTGGGATTTCAAACATTAAATTGCACACCCAAAGAAGAGTTAAAAGAATGTGCCTCTGACTCTGAAAGAAGAGTCCCAAAAGAAGGTCCACAAATGTTTTGAGTGATAGATGTCTCTTTGGAACAAGGGTCTAGCTCCTAAGGCAATTATTCTAAAGGAATAAGACTCACTTGGCAATTATATGCCCCAGCATGATTGTTTAAAAGGGAACCAGTTCCTTCCCCTCAGCACAGCAGACTCAAACACATTGGAATCACCTGCACGTTGGAATCACCTGGGGAGATTCGCAAACTACAGATGCCCAGTTCTCAGCCCCTGAAGATCTGATGTAGTTGGTCTGAGGGACAGACTGGACATTGGATATTTTTAAAGCTCCCAGGTGATTCTAATGTGCAGCCAAAACGGCAGCACCCTGCTTTAGAGTCATGTGTTGTATATATAACAGATGCGTAGTTTACACATCTGTTCTTCCCTGCCTCTTAACATACTCATCTTGTTCACTCTAGCCCCAAGTATAATACTTGGAGATAAGAGCTGCTCAATAAATGTTTGAGGCATGACTAAGAATAGGGAGGCCCTTATTGTGTGCCAGGTTGGGTGACCAACCGGTCCAGCTTGCCCAAAACAGAGGGGCTTCCTACGGTGTGTGACTTTCAGTGCTAAAACCAGAACAGTCCCAGGAAAACCAGGAGAGTTGGTCACCCTAGGGCCAGGTACTATGCTAAACATTTGCAAAGATTGTTTCTTTAATCCTAACCACAACCTTGTGAGGTGGAGACTATTACTAACCCCACTTGACAGGTGAGGGAACTGAAGCACAGAGATAGTAGGTAACTCCCCTGACATGGGCAGTAAGTAGTAGATCCGCGATCAGACATAGGCAGCCTGAATCCAGAGTCCACGTGCCAATCATTATGCTATATTCCCTTCCAACAAAGATATAATTTTCTTTGTTAATTGAATGTGTATCTCCCAATGTAGTACTTCTGTGGGTAAGTAACCCCTGACAACGAAAATGTTCCTTACTCCTTACATAGGGCATTTCCCAGTTTGGAGATTTCCAAGCTTGTCGATCCAAAATTATAGAGGAGAACCAGCAAGGAGCTCAGCTAGGATACAGAAAGCAAATCCTGGAGCTGGAGTGAGAGGAGAGTACCCTTGTCAGCTGGCACCTCAGCGGACACAGGAGTGCTCAGAACCAGCTTGTTCTCCTGACTGGATCCCCTATGCTGATCAGCGGACCAGGAGCAGACCGGGTTAGACTTCTCCACCAAGGCAGGAAGCGTCTGAGAAAGGAGCCTCTACGTGTGGGCACATGTGACGGGTGTCGCCGTGATATAGTTGTTTGCTTATGTAAAGGGCCCTAGTAACAAGGTGGGAGGTGTCTGAGCATTACTGAGTGGAGAAAGAACACCCTGAAAGTAAATTCTTCACCTCGAATCCTTCCTTTAGAGCACCAAAATGCCCTCCAAAATTACATTAAAATTCTACTGGCCACTTTTTTGAATCAAAAGAACAGGAGTCTGTGAGAATTTAGAATACTAACAGTTTAGTAAAAAACTAGTAATTTTACCACATGCAATCTCTTTACAGACCTGGAGACGCACAAGCTTCTAGACTGTTTTTTTAAGGCAAGGTGCTTATACCACATTTGCTCATCTAATACACGCCATGAAAGGACTCTGCCCACACTAGTACCATGTTCTACCTGACAGACCTAAATGAGAGGGAAACTGTTAACTAGTTTTCATCTGCTAAAAGAACACACAAACTCAACAGAGAGATCATCAGTAACTCAAAGATCGCCATGCTTAGAGGAAAGGAGCCAACTGTGGCAACTTGGGTCCATACCTGAAGGGAGCTTCTCTGTGGAATTGCTCCCAGAACTGCTGCTGTTCGACATCGAAGGCTGTGCACCGGTGGCGGAGGAGTGTCAATTCATCTGCCTGCAGTGGGGCCACCTGTTGCCTCACAGTAATGGCTGTCTTTTTTATGTTGTTCCATTTCTCAGGCAGCTCCTGCAAAGGAGATGTCAGTGTGGTCAGACCCACTGTGCTCTCCCTTGCCCACAGCCCTGAAGCTGGACATTCCAGACATCTTCATCTCTCCTTCATGCCACACTGTGATGCAGTGGTATCGTTCACCCACACTCTACAACTCCCCTTTCCTTGACTCATCTCGCGGGTTGCCTGCTTTCCCGACTATCACCTACTTCTGACTTAACATTAACCTTCCTGCCTCAGCCTCTCATGTGGTAACCCTTGCCCTTTTCTATATTTTCCAAGAGTGCTTGGTTATTTTCCTTTATGCCCCACATTTCCTCTTAGAGCATCTTCATGTTCCTCAGACCTGCTTTTTTACTCTGAATCAAAAAGTTGGCTCATCCCTAATTCAGAGGGGAAAAAACCCCAAACACTTCACCCATATCATTTCTCCCACATATCTCCAGCAAAACACTGTTTCCTATTGATTGAGCTTCCAAAATGTGGTAGACATTATACATACACTACACACGTAGTTCCAAAACACGGACTTTGGGTCCTCACCGAGCCCTGTTTTTGATTTACGTCAACCCACCTCACCCTGCTCTGAAATCGTGAAACTCTCCCACTATTTCTTTTATTAAGAAAACATAACCTTTGCACTGACCTCGAGCTGCTTAAACACTGTTTCTGGCAATTCTTGTTCATAGGTCTTCAGCAACTCAATAGTTTGCTTTAAGGGCTCAAACATCTCATCGGTGCTGCTCTGCCGTTCCTTAAGAGCCACGAGGTGTCCCATGACTTCGACCAGTCCTTTGAAATCTCCTTTTTCCACTTTCTTGAGCAAGCCACTCTCACTATTTTTTATAAATACTTCAAGGTCCTCCAAGCTGAGTATAACAAACAGAACATGAGGATGCAACCTCCCTCCAGTCCTCAAAAGGGAGATTTATTTATCCCCAAGAATAGTAGCCACTATTCTGGAAAACTTTCCATGTGCCTAGCACTTGGCATAGACTATGTCCTAGTGGCAAGAATATAGCCCTTTTCAGAAGTGTCAAAGTCATGAAAGATAAAAACTGAGGCTCCATGATGGAGGAGACTCAGGAGACACGGTACAGTAGTGGGACAACTGACGAAAAGTGAATAAGATCTGTAGGTGAGTTAATATGTCTATATCAATATTAACTTCCTTGTGTTGATAATTGTACTATGGTTATACAAGACATTATCATTTGGGAACACTGAGTGAAGGTAAAACAGAACTCTTCGTACTATTTTTATAACTTGTTTTGTAAGTCTAAAAAGTTTTCAAAGTGAATATATTATAAATTATTTTGTAAGTCTGAAATTATTTTTAAAAAACAAAATAAAAAAAATGGCCTCTAAAGTCAAACAGACTTGGGTTTAATTTTCATACTTACTAGATATGTAACCATGACCAAGTCATTTAACATCTCTGAGCCTCAGTTTCCTCACCTATAAGACTGGAAAAATCATTTCTGTCTCCCTGCTTATTGTGAGTTAAATGAAATTCATTCTGGGGGCTGCCGCATGGCCGAGTGGTTAAGTTTGCACACTCAAGTTTGGCAGCCCAGGGTTTCGCCAGTTCGGATCCTAGGCACGGACCTAGCACCACTCATCAGGCCATGCTGAGGCGGCGTCCCACATAGCACAACCAGAAGGACCTGCAACTAGAATATATAACTATTTGTTTGAGAAAAAGGGAAAAAGTCAGAGGAGATGAGCCCAGCCAAGGAGACCAAGAAGACATAGCCAGTGAGATAGAAGGAAGTCAAGAAAAGTGAGGTATCCGGTAAGTCGCGTGAAGAACCTTTTTGGAAAGGAGAGAGGGATCAGCTGTGCCAAATAGTGCTGAGAGGTACAAGTAGGATGAAGACTGATAATCACCGCTGGATTCGGCCCCACGAAAATCCTTGATCTTGACAAGAATGGTTTCAGCGGAGCAGTATAGTCAAATCCTGACTGGAGAATACATTGGAGAATGGTGGGCTTCTGTTTCTAGCTGTATGATACATGATAATATGAATGACCCTTCTGCTAAAACAACTGAAATGCTTAAGCAAATATTTCAGAATCATTTAAAAATGTATCACTAAGGTGGTACAAAATTAAGGAATCTCCAGAGGCTGAAAATGCAGTGAAAGCAAGAACCCCGGGAGGTAAGCAAGGTTCAAAGCTTCCTTTCACGTGATAGTTTCTACTGAATGCTGGAGACCCTGAGCTTCTATTTGGATCGCTTTATGAGATGTGGGAAACAGGTGATTAAACCTAGGGCCCACACGAAGTGAGGAAGCCAGTAGGAGGCTGCATGTGAAGTTGCAACACCATAAAAGTGACCAAGGAATAAAAATGCTACACAGCAAGGGACAGTAGGGAAACCTGCCCGTATTAACCTTGGCACTAGATGGACTACTGCAAGTTGAAGTACAAGTGGTCTGGGGTTGGAAGAGTCCCTGGATGACCGGCAGAAACCAATGAAAATCCTTTCTGGAGGAATGCAGCTAGAGACCAATCCTCAAAGGATTAAATATCCAGGAACATGATTTTACAATCCAAAGTCACAAAATACACAAGGAAAGAAGTCACCATGAGTGGGAGCCAACAGAAACAGCAAAATTAAACCTGTGAAGCTTTCAGATATTGGAATTCAGATGCAGAACATAAAATAGAAATAATCAATATATTTAAAGGACAAGAGTTTGTGCTTAGGTGCCTTGCTTTGTTGTTTCTGACCCGTATAGGAGGAGAAAATTGCCTTCCCTGTAGCTTCTTGGACATCAATTCAAGACTGGCTAAGAAAAACAACGTCATCCTTTTAAGCGTGTTACATCAGTTTATACCTTTCTTTCGGCATCACCTTTCAGAGGCCTCGATAAGCTCTTACATTGTCAATAGCTGAATGCCTCTGCCCCTGGCCCAACTTGCCCTTTAGGTTCAAGCATAAATTCACATTGTTTCTGAGTCAGGAATGGAGGCGATTTCAGAGGCTCTCCAAGTACACCTGTGTCTGTGAGAGCATGTGGACCTTTATATTGAATGATGGATTCCGAGAAGTGACAAAACTTTTTGAAGTGGATAATGTGAAAATTATGACCTGTGATGGCATTACCTTGTGAAGAGAAGCATAGAAAAAGCTTTTGATGTGTGTTTTAGCAATGCGAAACTGATCATACTGTACTATGTTGATGGGTGATCCCAGGAGAATGAAGTTAAACGTTTTCTGTAGGCCTTTATGTTAACTTTAATCTATGGCATGAAGAAACAAACCATTTTTAAGTTGAGAAATCAAAAGTTGTCTGAAGATTATCCTCCAATGAACATATTCTAAAGCTTAAAAAATGAATAAGTAGAAGAGGAGCCTTAAAATTTGAGCAAAGAACAAGACAGTATAAAGATGAGCAAGCAGGGGCTGGCCCCGTGGCCGAGTGGTTAAGTTCACGCCCTCTACTTCGGCGGCCTGGGGTTTCACTGGTTTGGATCCTGGGCGCCGACACAGCACCGATCATCACGCCATGCTGAGGCGGCGTCCCACATGCCACAACTATAAGGACCCACAGCTAAAATATACAGCTATGTATTGGGGGGATTTGGGGAGAAAAAGCAGAAAAAAAAGATGATCAAGCAAAATTATAAAATAACCAACTAGAAAATCTAAAAATAGAAATTGTAATTAAAATTTAAAGTTCAATGAATGGGTCAAACAGGAGATTCAGACACAGCTGAAAGAAAGAGTCAGACTGCTGTGTGACAGACATGAGGAAGTTATCCAAACTGCAGTGCAATAAGACAAAACTGAAAACTCTGAAAACCGTTAAAAGACGTGGAGGACAGTGAAAGGATCTCACAGAACAAGAGCTCAGGAAGGAAGCAACAGAGGGAATGGGCAAGAAGCAATCTTTGAGAGATCCTGGCTAAGAATTTTCTTGAATTGTTGAAAGACACCATATGCAAGGTCAAGAAAGCCCAACAAATTCCAGACGGAATTAATACAAAGAAACTCTCACATACGTACTTCAATATGAAACTGCAGATTACCAAAATGAAAAGAAAAATGTTAAAGCTAGCTTCAGAGCAAAGACAGATTTCTACAAAAACTACGCTATTCAGCAGCAAAAATGGAAGGCAGGACACAGTAGAATAATATTTTCAATAGACTCACAGAAAATATCTGCTATTCAAGAATTCTCTCTTCCACAAAATGATTTCTTCAAGTACAAGGGCAAAAAACGTGCATGTTCAGACAAAGGATGAATGAGAGGGTTGTTCACCAATAGACCTTTATTAAAGGACCTTGTAATTGATGCACCTCAGGTGGCAGGTCTGCACTGCAGGAAGACACAGTCAACAAAGATACCAGGAAACGTGTAGGTAAATTTAAATAAACATTCTGTCCAAAAATAAAGCATAATTTGTGGAGTTTAAATAAATAGTAGACAACAACTGAAATTACTGGGAATCATAGAATATAATTCGATGGATGAAAATTGAGATCAAACTATTCCAAAAGTCAGGGTATTGGTTGTGAGGAGAGTAACAGTACTCATAGACTTAGTCCTCTTGAGGATGCTTATGGAAATAGCTATGGTAACTATCAGAAGAGTAGATCTAGACAGTCAAACATCCAAATTAGCAGAAAAGAAAGAATGGAATAAGCAAAAGGAAAAATAAAACTTAAAAAAACAATTCAACCCAAAAGCAGGCAAGAAAGGAGGGGAAAAAAAGAAAGAAAAAGAAGAACAAATAGAAAGTACATAATAAAATGGTAGAAATGAATCCAAATATAGCAGGATAAATGTTAATGAAAACCCTCCAGTTAAAAGACAAATATTAAGGTAGATAAAACATGCAGTTTTGTGTTGATTATAAAAATCTCTCCTAATATAAAGGCACAGAAAGACCGAAAGCCCGAGGATAAAATGAGAGACACCAGGCAAATATCATACAGAGAAAATTGGTTTAGTTATATTTATATAAGACAAAACAGACTTTAACACAAATAATATAGCTAGCGATAGAGAAGATTTTTAATGTGTGGCTAAAAGTTTCAATTTGTCAGGAAGATATGAAAAGAAAACTCTGTATGCTCATATAACATAACTTTAAAATATATGAAACAAAAAGTGATAGAATTACAAGAAGAAACTGACAATCTATCATCAAAGTGGAAGATTTTTAACACGATTATCTGAGTAACTGATAAAACAAGCAGAAGATAAGGCACTGAGAATACAGTAGATTTGAATAAAACACATTCGTTCAAACAGGCATGCACAGAACACGACGCCCAACAGTTACAGATACACGTGCTTTTCAAATATGCACAGAACATTTAGAAAAACTGACCATACTATAGTGTAAAAAGCAAACATCAACTACTTTCAGAAGCTTGTTATTAGTTCTAGCACATTCTCTGACCACAGTGCAATTGTTAGAAATTAATAACAGGAATGTAACTAGAAGAACCCTATGTTTGAAGAACAAAAAATGTATAAATACATCATAATGGATGTTAAAAATATTTAGGACTAAATTGTAATGAAAATATTATATACTAAGCCTTGTGAGATGTAGGTAAAATTGTACTTAGAAAGGAATTTATAACTTTAAATGTTACATTAAAAAGACAGAGGGCTCAAAATGAGTAAGCAGAATACCCATCTTAAGTTAGCCAAAGAAAGGAAAACAAATCCAAAGAAAGTAGAAGGAAATAAACATAAAAGACTAAATTTTTAACATAATCAAATTATAATGGAGAGAATCAATGATCTCATAAGATAGTTCTTTGAAAAATCTCTGGCAAGATATATCAAGTAAAATAGCCAGAAAGCACAAATAAAAATGAACAGAAATGAGAAGCAAGACATAA